CAGAGAGGAAAGGACGTGCGAAGAAAAGGATCGGCATGAGCGGAAGACGAGCAGTGCTCAAGTGTGTGAGGGGACGGCTGAGTCCAGCAGGGGTGGGCTCTGAGCTCGGCTCGGGTCTGGGAGAGAAGGAGCGGTGCAAGTTCGGATGGGGGAAGGCTGGGAAGGCCTGGTGTGCCCGGCGGGTGCGGGAGGACTCCTGCTGTAATAGTTCAGGCCAGAGCTTAGCTGGTGGCAATGAAGAGAAGAGTGAGTAGGCAGACAGAGTTGTAAGACTGTGCAGTCATATTAACTTCTCACAACCCCAGAAGAAAAGTATTATTATCTCCTCCCTACCGATAAAGAAATAGAATATTATGGAGGTTCGACTTTTCCTGGGTTCCATACTTAATTGTTTCACAGCCAAACTTTGACTATAATTAAGCCCTAGTATCTGACAAAAATGCAAAGGACAAATGTGTAGGAAAAGCTAATTAGCCAGACCCGGGATTATAATTGGAAGACCCTGTAGGCTGGATTTACTCAGCAGGCCAGACTTCCTGGCCTGGTACATTGCTGAGAGATTTTGAATCTGAATATCTGTACCGCAGACCCCACTACTCCCTATTGTCCACAAGGCCTTTTCAAATATTGTGTGAACTGCTTGCCCCAGGAAAGGCAACTAACCGAGAATGGTCCAATGGAGTGCCTTAAAGAAGCAGAATTTAGGAAAACTCATTTCAAGGCAATAAAAAAGTGTCAGTAAAGGGTTGGGAGTTGGAATGAGGTAGAGAAGCAAAAAGCAAAACAGGGGTTAATGTGAAAAGGACATTTAGGACCTTCCGTGGGGTGAGAAACAGGAAGCCAGGGTATCTGTATTCAGTCCAGATGTGAGATGGTCAGGAAGAAGGAAGGAACATTCAGAAAGATAATGGGTCCCATTCTCCACCCTCTGCCCGGAGCAGGGGAGGGGGTGGCTTTGGAGGGAAAGGAGGGTGGAGATTCTTCGGCATTCCCTTCTGCTGCCGTCATCCGTGTGAGTGCGGGATGAGGAGGCCGAGCTACCCGAGTGTCGTGTTTGTACAGTCCCTTACTGGCCGAAAATATTCCGGTTCTTATCAAATTAGCAGTGACCAACAAAGCGGTAATAGTCAGTGTTGGTGTGGTTGTGGAGAAACACACAGTTCCATACCCAGTGCTGGGAGTAAACTGGTAAAACCCTTTCAGACAAACATTTGGAGTATTTAATAAATTCCACTTCTGGAAATCTATCCTATGGAAATAACCTGAAACGCAGACAAAAACTTAATGGACAGGCATCCCTCATTTGATTGCATTTCATTTTATTGTGCTTTACTGATACTGCTTTTTTTGTTTTAACCATTGGAAGGGAAGCCCCTTCACAAGCAAAAGGATTATGACTATTTGTGTTACTTGCTTTATTGTGATACTTGCTTTTTTGTGGTGTCTGGAATCGAACCTGCACTATCTCTGAGGTATGCCTGTACCCAGATGTTCATCACAGTGTGTGATATAGTAAGAAATTTGTAAAATATCTGAATGTCCAATGGTCATGCAAATTTAGGTATATTCATAAAATGAATAATATACAACAGCTGTGCAGACTATGGTGCAAAAATGTTCCATAACTTGAGAACATATTTATGACACAAAGTGAAAAGAGCGGTATGGACAGTTGTATACACAGTATGATACGCATGGGAAAAAAATCTATATTCCCTGCGCCGAGGGTTGGCAAACAGAGCCTGCAGACCAGGTCTGTCCCGCTGCCTGTTATTGTAAATAATTGAAACAGCCATCCTCACTCTTTACCTATTGTCTGTGGCTGGTTTTGCACTGCAGTGGCATTAACTAGCAGAGCTAGCAACTATAGGTCCTCAAAGCCTAAAATATTTACCATCTGGTTCTTTAGAGAAAAAGTCTCATGACTCCTGCTCTACGGCAAAATGAAAGTCATGACTTTTGTAATTGCAGAATTATCATTTTGAATAAGCATCATTATATATTTAGCTTTTATTTTCACAACAGGCACATATTATTTTTACAATGCACAAGAAGACTAGTTAAAAATATCTGGCTGCAAAGGAGAACAGAGCATCCGCATGATTTTTCTCTGTGCTGTGCTCAGCTATGCAAAGTGAGGCAGTTTTGCTTACGTCGCTCTGAGTATTAGGAAATCCCAAAGCTAAGCCCCAGGGGTGATGACCTGTTTCACATGTGTCATGCAGTGTTTTCCACCACTCTACAGGCTCGGTTAAAATGCAGACTTTTTTGTGCAACCAGATTTTAATCAGCAAGCTGATGAACTGAGGAGGTAGTATGATAATGGAAAGAGAATCCTTCCGCAGTGTCAGCTCTGGCAGCCTGTCCCCGGAACTGAGCTTTGCCCCAGAGGAAGATGCTTGAATCTTCCCTGCTTCCCTGGACCCCTGCTGCCTGGTCTCCCAAATCAGCCTAACGACCCATCGCCTGATGCTCCCAGTCACAGAGCTGGCTTGGATGTTCTCTTGACCTTGCGTCTAATGTCCAGTTCTCAACACTGCAGTTCTGTGATTCTTCAGTGGTCACCGATCAGCTGTCAGCACTGAGTGTCTTGCTCACTGAACTTCCAGGATTTAGTGGGGGCAGGGATGGCCATCAATATGCAGGAGAGAAAAGACTTTCCTCTGTGAAACTCTCACCTAGCACCCAATGTGTTTACCTGGTGACCTCTGAGTAATGGTTCCCCGCGTGGGATGGTGCCCACTGTTTCTTTCCTCTCTCTGACACACGGTCCCTCTGGCGACTTTGATGTCGTGTGCCGAGTGCCCTGTGCTGTGTGCCACTTCGTGTATTATTCGAAGAAACATGATGTCTGTGGGAAAGAAACATGACTGTTTGCCATGCTTCAGACACCGAGAGAGTATATACTAAAATAGCTGAAAGGCTGTTCACCGGAAGAAAAATTCAAATAGGTATTTTTTACTTCGTAGTTCTGGTTTCTGTTTTCAATGGGGATTTCAGGGGGAAAATATTCAACCTGAGAGTTGGACATTTTGAGACACAGAGGTGAGGAAACCCACATGTCTTTATTGTTTTCACAATTTCCCAGCCAGCTTCGAGCACCATCCTCTCCACAAAGAGTTTTTACTCAATGTGCCACATGGGGTAACGTAGGACAAAAGGTGCACATTTTCAGCTATGAGAAGAATAAGTTTTGAGGAGCCAATGGACAGCATGGTGAAGATGGTTAATAATGTGGTATTGGATACGTGGAAGTTGTTGAGCATAGATTGTCTCTCTCTCTCACACACACACACACACACGAGAGTTCACTATGTCCACAATGTGAAGTGATGGGTGTGTCAATTATCCTGATCTCGGCAATCATCCTACAATATACATGTGTATCAGATCATTAGGTTGCACAGCTTTTTTTTTAAGATTTTATTTATTTATTTTTAGAGAGGGAAGGGAGGGAGATAGAGAGAGAGAGAGAGAAACATCAATGTGCAGTTGCTGGGGTTTATGGCCTGCAACTCAGGCATGTGCCCTGGCTGGGAATCGAACCTGCGACACTTTGGTTCGCAGCCCTCGCTCAATCCACTGAGCTACGCCAGCCAGGGCTGTTGCACAGTTTTTGAAAAGCACAAAGGGCCATGTGCAGATTATTCCTCTGTAAGAATGGAATGCACCAAATAAGAAAGTTGATGACTAGATAACATTAATGGAGACAAGGAAAAAGAAAGTCATCTCAAATGTTCCTTCTAGCAGATAGTTTATATCTTTTTCCTCCCAGGACATACATTCTAATGGTGACGTCCTAGTCCACATTTCCGCAGGCCTGGGATTTGTCTCCTGAGCTTTCTGGGTAACTAGAGTGGAAAGGCATCCAAGTATCTTCAATCCTATTGCACAGGTTATGAGAAGCCGGTGAAAGCAGTCACATTTCTGATTAGGTAGTTGGGAAAGATCACCCATCTCCCCGCCACTCCTCAACCGCTCCCCTGAAACTGAAACATTCAAATCCCTGGTTTCATCTGGATCACTGCAGTGCTGAGGGTCTCGCTGAAGACAAATCAGATGGACTTTAGTTAGGTACAATGTCCTGAGGCCACAGCTGAGTGGCACAAGGAAACTAGCTTTATCACTTGGAGGCACTGGTCTGATTTGATTCGTCACGAGAATCACTCCACTTGTCCCCATTTTCAGCTCTCAGTCACCAGGTGTCTCAAATCTCAAGCACCCAGGAACACTGAGGCCATCTTTGGCATTGAGAGGATGGCCGTTCAAGTTTTGACTGAGAAGGTCTAGACGCATTCCAGCCTCATTTCCATCTGTGCCTTTTCACCGCCACTCAGCCCCAGTGGGGGGTGCAGTGCTCACTGATGACTTCGGCATCACCTTCTCAGAGTATAACTGGGGATTTTATAATTCTGAGATGTTCTGTAAATGCTATTTCTCCTTCCTAGAATGCCCTCCCTTCTCTAACTGCATTTTTCTAGTTATCTTTCAGGATCCAGCTAACACGACTCTATAGCAGGAAATTCTCCTTACATGTCTATGGGCATTTTATTCATTTTATTTATTTACCTTCCCTAGCACAGAAGCAGCTTCCATTTATGAGTCTGACTCTTTGAATTTGAATCCCTTATCAGTAACGTGAGTGATGTTAGGCAGGTTATGTAACCATTTTCACCTTCAGTTCCTCATATTTAAAGTGGGTTTAATGAGAGTCTCTACCACACAGAGCTGTGGTGGGAACAAAATGAGATAAATAACCTTAAAGCCTTTGCATGGTGGTTAGAAGAGAGGAAGAAAACAATGTGGCTAGCTGTTACAATAAAGAAATCACTGTATTGGTAAACTTCAAAGGAAAACAAACCTGCCCATTTATCCCTGAGCCTTGAGCTCCTAATCAAGCCTGATCTATAAACCTTCCTGGGGATGTAAGGCGTAAATATAATAGGTCACTTAAGAAAATTATAGACTAACCGCCAAGCAAGGAAAACACTGTACTGAGATGATCACAAAGAGTTCAGACAAGATGTGGATGGCTGTTGGAGTCCAAGCGGTGTCATGCCTGGAATCGGAAAGTGGGTGCGTGTGTGGCTTGCTCTCCCAAACTGAGCACATCACGTGGACGATGGCTGAGTATTTGGGGTACTTGCACGGTACCACATTTTGGTACCTTCTGTCCCAATTTTGCCCTTCTGTAGGAAGACTCACTGGAACATTTTGTGATAGCATATCATTGATGTTCCACTGTGTATTTTATGTTAATGAAATTACATGTCTGGTATTGTGGGGTTTTGTTTTAAAGATTTTATTTATTTACTTTTAGAAAGATAGAAAGAAAGGGAGAAAGAGAGAGGGGGAAACATTGGTGTGTGAGATATACATCTGTTGGTTGCCTCTCAAACACCCCCAACTGGGGACCTGGCCTGCAAGCCAGGCATGTGCGCCGCACTGGGAATCAAACCAATGACCTTTTGGTTCACACACCAGCACTCAATCCACTGAACCACAGCAGTCAGAGCTACGTTTTTTTTTTTTCCTGTATAATCTTATTAACCCCAGGGTCTAACTATGTATGGATATACTGGAGTAGGAATATGAACCTGCCCACGCCTGATCTGCAGTCCCTATTTTCTCCATTGTGCTGGGCAGATCCCAGCAATGTCAGTGCCACGCTCATTAGAGGAGCACCCCCTGTTGGTGGGTGGAGGGATCTGTGTTGGTGAGAGACAGGGCACAGATGGGTGAGGGACTCAGCAGGGGAGGGGGCGGGGACAGTGCAGAAGGAAGCCGGGATCTGAAGTATGCGTGGCCTCAGTCTGTCTGGCTGGCTGACTCCAGTCCCCACGTCCCACCCAGACTGTCCCCCCTTCTACCCTCTTCTCTTTAAATAGCTACAGACTACAAATTAGAGAGATTCTTCCCTACCTTTACCATTAGCAACAAATGATTTTATAATATCACTCAATGGATTATTAAATACCACTGCGCTAAGTACTAACTACAGGGAGAGGCAAAAGTAGTTTTACAGTTATTCATATGGGAAATAATACAATAATTAATAAATAATAATAGTACAAGAATAAACCCTGTGTTTTGCTTACCACTACAAACCTACTTTTGCCGCACCCTGTATACAAAAGTAAATGAACTAGGAGTGTTCCACACTTCTGCACAGTTTACAGACTATAAACTATACACGTATGCTCCTCTGGTGCTCACAGCAACTACTTTGGAAATAAGAATTATTTTGCCCATTTGACAGAGGAGGGAACTGAGTCTATTCTGTGGGAGAAGAGCTGGACTGCAGGGTTCAAGGTGTCTCCTGCACTGGGCTTTCATCCACACTAGAAGAGAGGACATGAGAAAAACAGAAGCGGAGTATAAACCCACTAGTACAGATCCACTAGCTTTGTCCTTAAATTATTTATGCAAGTGAGGGAAAGGAAGAGTGGCTAGAAAAGGAAGACGACTCGTGTCCACAAACCCAGGTTTCCCCACGCCATCCCCTTCTCTTAAGTGCCTGGTCACTCTCTGGCCACCTTTCAAACTCTAGAAAACACTCCGGAATTCCAGGCTAGGAGGGGTTTCCTTTGCAGGTCTGGCCATTGTAATTTTACCAGAAACTATTCAATGCTTCCTCTTACCAGGTACAAAACAGTTTTCTGAATGAATGTCTTATTCATTAAACAGCTAACCCTTGACCTTTCTGACTCACATTTTTTCTGTTATTACTCAGCTTTGAGAGTAAGATAAAGCTTTTATGTACACCCACACATACTCACACATACAGGCACATTACAGTACTTGCATCCTTACACAAACCACTAAGAAATGCCTGCACCCATAAGCACACATGTATGCAGAATCAAACACATATCTAGGCATGTTCATCATACATGTAAACATCCTTGCACACACATGTGCATGCATTCACATACCCATACAGATACATGCTGGCATGACACCGACTTTGTACTCTTCGTGGAGGAAAGAAACAGAAAGACTGAAAAATACTCAGACTCCAGAGGAACACATAAGAACCCTGTTAATCCAGGGTGTTTGGGGCTATTCTCACTTTTAAGAAAGACAGGATATCGCTGCTGCTGTGGCCTGTTGAGATCTCCCTTCCCACGCTTCCCACCCTTCCCTGTTGCTGGCAGGCAGAGAGCACCCTTTGCCTCCAATGAGTGATACTGGTTTTTTTTTCCTTTTACACATGATAAAAATCATAAGGACTATTGAACAAAGTAGAAATGAACCCCTGACTTCCAGTTCCTGGTTGACAGCAGGCACTGAGTTAATATTAATTGCATGAAAGAATTAATAAAGACTATTTATGTTTCATTAGAAGAAAACAAGGTACCTAAGGACACTCAGTCCAGCAACGTCATGTTTCAAGGGAGGGTTCAGGGACCCAGAGGGCTACGTCATCCCCCTGGAATCCACACTGTTAATGGCGAAGAAAAGGGGGCTGAGACTATAACTTTCAATATCCTTGAACTTGGTAATGAAAGGCCACTGTCACTGGGAAGCTATTCTCCTCTTCTGTTGTATCTTCTCCTTAATATTCAAGCCAGAAGCTAGTAAGGGAATTCAATTAGAAAAACACTTATGTCAAAATGATTTATTTGTATGTTTAAGTTTATTTCTAACTTTTCCACAGTTTTTATCTCCACTACTGTCTTCTCTAAATCTTACACCATCCATGCAGAAGCAATAACTTGGTATGCCTCTCTAAATGTTCATTTAATCATTCATTCATTCATTCATAAGACAAATATTTAACGTGGTTACTCTGGGCTAGATACCATGTCATGACTCACTGCCTTTGGACATTCTCTGCCTGGAACATACTTCTCTACCTACCTGATGCGACAAATTCTAACATGCATTTCAAGACTCATTCAGATAGCTCCACTGCAATGACAGCTTCTCTGCCCCCTGGACAGAGCGACTTGTTCTCTCTTTCCCCTGAGGTCACGTGGCACTTTTCCTACACCTCAGTAAGAATTTTTGAAATTTTTGCTAAGTTCATGATTGTCTGATTCATGCTCTTCTCCTTCCCCAGATGGCGATTCCTGGATTGCAAGAATTTGTACGAACCGAATCTTTGTGTTCAAGTGTTGCCTAGCACCTGACAAATACAGCAGGTGTTTACCGCAGGCTTATGCAGCGAATGAATAAATGAATGAACAAATGCGTGCATGGGCATTGACCTACTTGGCGGGTGAGAAACTAGGCTTATGGGGGGATACGAGCTAGCAGCAGATCTCAGGCTAAAATTTGGATATTCTGACTCTTCTTCTTGGGCGCGACCCACAGAACCCAAGGGCCCTTTAATATTCCACCCCGTTGACGGCTGAGCTCATCCTGAAACGGGACAGGATCTTCTCGCTAGCCCCTCGCCGAGATGAGTGTGTGTGTGTGGGGCAATCTGTGGATTCATCTTTTCCGTCCTCTGTGGGTGTCTGTTCACAGGCTGCACCTGAACAACAACAGGGCCAACCTAGGGAGCGGAAGAGGGCATTTTCTAGTTCTAAACAGAGATAAGCATCACTAGTTTCTTCCTTACAACATCAGCAGCCTCAAAAGTTCCAGCTTTGAAGAAGAAGAAGGCAAGAGGGACCACAGACTTCTGTGAGAAGTCAGAGTAAGCTTTGCTTTTGTCGGGACCCTGTTTACCTCCCCTGGAAATGGACACTTTCATCCTTTCAGACAAAAATTAAAAGTGTCAATCTATTTATACACTGCCTGGCACTTCATAGAGAGTAAGCTTCAGCTTCCTCATTTTGTCCTGTAACTTCAGGTTCTAAGCTAGAAAAAGCCCCTCTTGAATCTGAGATTTGCCTTTTGAATCAGCTTACCTCAGGTTATAATTGGATTATCTCGCATTATGACAAGTGTTTTGCTATTTGTGAAATATTTTGACGTGTGTTTTGTTCTGTCCTGTTTTTTACACACTTCATAAGAGTCAGGACCAAGACTGAGAAAAGTGAACTGACTTTTTATTCAGCATCCATTCAACATTCACTCTCAAAGTATTTATCAAATGCCCACTGGCTACTGTTAAATAGATGAATTTACCATGGGGTAAGACCACTGTTCTAGACTAAACCAACTTGGAAGAACCTGGGGACAATTTTTGAGGAAGTGACATTTAAACTAAGGCTTCATTACGGCTACATGCACCATCAGTGGCTGAGCTAGGACAGAAACCCATGCCTCTTGATTCTGGTTTTTGTATCCCGGGCTCTCTCAAGCTCTGGTCCCAAATCATAAAAGCCAACATTTTAAAAAATATTTTATTTACTTATTTTTAGAGAGGGAAGGGAGGGAGACAGAGAGAGAGAGAGAGAAACATCAATGTGCGGTTGCTGGGGGGTCATGGCCTGCAACCCACACATGCACCCTGACTGGGAATCGAACCTGCGATGCTTTGGTTTGCAGCCTCGCGCTCAATCCACTGAGCTATGCCAGCCAGGGCAAAAGCTAACATTTTATCCCTGCCCGACTGCCACTGGCATGGCATAGCGAATAGCTTGGTGGTCTCAGGTGCCCAGTGAACCCATTAATGGGCTTGGATATGGCAGGCCCAGGCAAAATGCAGAGACCTACATACCCATCATGGTTGGCCTGGCAAACATCGTCAATAAAGAGAAGCAGTTATAGCTGTTAAGAGCCACAGAATACAAAATTTGTTTTCCTAAAATAAAATAAACCATGAAGGAGCAAGACCCTGTAAATCTAAGAAGAGACAGAAGAGGCTTTAGTGTGCTGGCCTTTCTTATTCATAGATGTCAATGCGGACACTCAGAGAAGGTATGTCGTCCCGTTAGCGTCACTCCACAGATCAGGGTTTGGTCCCCGTTCTCATGACTCCCAGTGACGGGAGGAAACATGATGGAGCGCCAAAGCACAGACTGTGAAGTCCCACACGACACTGTATCCAGACTTCGCCCTGTACTAGTAGGGTGACCTTGATTTTGCAGAGCCGATGAAGTGCCTAGCTCAAAGCAGGTTTTCAAGACCTAGATATTTTCTAGGTACAGTGCCCTGTAGTATATTCAGAAATGTCTCACAGATGTCACATTGATTAGTGTTACATGCAGAGGATATATTATTGCCAGATAAACTGAAAAAACATATATCACAAGTCCCGATCAATGTTCTGTTTACACTGAGAAGTATTTAACAACTAGAATCTCAGGACATCCCAAAGAGTTCGCTCAATCCTCAGTGGCACGGGATACAAAGAGCAGAAATAAGGAGACACGAGAGGGTTGAGAAAACTTGCAGATGCCAAAGATCTGGCCTTTGTCACCACACATTTCAATCCCAAGGTGGACATGGGCTTACTTAGCCTTTGGTATCTGTTAAGGGGAGGGACCGATATGGGCCTTTTTGGGAAGGATGGTTCTTCATGGTGTGCTGATTTCACCGGCTAAAAAATGCTAACCCTCTCTCACCCCTCCCAGATGACAGTGGTGCTCCCACTCATTGGAAGGAGCCAAGAGCCACCCTCTCCATTTTCAAAGCCATCCTGGGGTGGTGCCGCTCTTGACTGTACACCAGCTTTAATTAAGGGAACACAATGATGCCAGGAACTCAGCTTCCTGGGTTCAAGTCCCAGTTGGGCCAACACACAGCTTTGTGATCTTGGGCAAGTCATTCAGCCCTTGTCTTCAAACTAAGAGGGCAGGACAGGTATGTTTTATTCACCAAGCATTAAGGAAACAGTGATTAGGACGAGGAGCTTTTCAGTGGCCTGCCTGAGTCTCTCAAGATAAACGGACTCCTCCGAAATTTGAAATGAACACTAAAGAATCCGAAATTGATAGACGTTAATGAAATGTCTGATAATGTGAAATACCGAAGTTCAACTTAATTTTTCATCCTTTATATCAAAATATGGTTAAGTTCAATTACAAGAATATATAAAAACATTTACTAATATAACTCAAAGTAGAATTTTCAAATATTTTTATAGTAAAGCAGAGCTGCAAGCAGAACTTCAGTGTCTCCTTTTCAGTTTCTCAGGCCCAAATCTTGCTCATCCTTGATCCCATTCTCACCTCCCTCCGACCCTCTCTTACATCCAGAGCTCAGTCCCCTCCCACCACCTGCCCCGCTCACTGCCTGGCCCCTGTCTGCACGCCTCTGTCACAATTATTGCAACAGCTTTCTCGCTGACCAACCTGCTCCCACTCTTGTCCTGAGAGGGGTCTGTTAGAGCCTGAGATAGACCATAGCATCTTCTTCTCAGAGTCTTCCAATGGCTTCTCTTCCCCAAAGACCTGAAAAGCCCTTGTCTCTTCATTTTTTCTCTTCCTCACTCGTACCACCTTTTCCCTTGATTAATCCGCTTTATCCGTGTTGGTCTGCATGCTGCTCTTCAAATATGCCAACGCATCTGCCTCAGGACCTTTGAACTGGCTGGTGCCCCTTCTGGGGATGCTTGGCCCACTGCCTCATATCTTTTGAGTGTCTGCTCACACATGACCTGCTGAGTCAGATCTTTATGAGCATTCTGTTAATAGTGTAATCCCCTTTCAACAAATCTTAATCCTTTCCCTGATGTACCTTTCTGCATAGCATGCAACGTCTCCGACAACACAAAATTTACTTATTCTCTTTATTGCCTGCTTACACTAGAAGGTCATTCTAAGTAGGGCATTCTTTTCTGTAATTTTTAATTAATTAATTAATTAATTTATTTATTTATTAGTGCTAGGATACTAGATATTACCTGGCCCCTAGTACATACTTAATAAATAATGTTGAATAAATGTGTCAATATGTGATGTGGGGACATTTTATTAGGTTTGATATAACATGGAATTTTGCCTCCAAAGACAGGAATGCTTAATGAAATATCTACCCAAGTTCTTAAAATGTTCTATAAGGTCTTAAAATAGTCCATGTAAGTTTTCTTATCTGTATCTTTATAGCAGCACCTAGAAGTCACCCGGTACAGGACTCCTTATAAGCTGGCCCTGTGGATCTGGTCAGCTTTCCTCCCCTCCCCTCCCCTCTGGAGCTCCCACTTCCTTGTTCAATGTTGCCAATTGGCTTGTAAGTTCCCCAGAGATTCCAGGCTGTCTCAGGCCTTTGCTCCTGCTTTTACTTCTCTCTGGGATTCCCTCCTCCCTCCTCCTTTTCTGTCCACTTCTCTCTTTCAGGTTAGGACTCAGGAGTTAACGCCTTGGGAGGCTTTATGAATGGCATGTTGAGTTAGGTGTCCCCAGTCCTCTGCTCTTTGTAGTCACCAATACATTCCTCTGGCTTTGCCTTTACTATATTACATTGAACTTATGTTCTCGTGTGTCCATTTCTCTTCCTAGACTGTAAACGCCTAGAGCAGGGCCCCTAGTAGGTGCTGAAAGCACGCAGAGGAAGAAGGCAGAGTGATGGTGCTTGTCTCCCTAAGCAGGTATGTTCCCACAGGAAGCCATTCCTTTCATGTGGGGTCCATTTTTTTAAAACACAGTCTGTCAAGAAAAACATCTCCTGTAGTTATAGAAAGGATGGGGACTTGGGTACCAGGCTGGCATGGCTTTGAATCCTGACTCCCTGATAACCAGATGTGTCTTGAACAAGTCACTGAGCCTCAGTTTCCTCATTAGTGTAGTAGCAAGAATAATACTGTGCAACATATAGAAGGCGGCCAGCACAAGATGGCCAATGCATGCTGATTCCTTCGCCCTCTTCTTGTCTCTGGGAAGGAAGTAAAATGATTTCCTCTTGGTGCCCGTTCACCCTCCCCCGTGTGGAGTGCGGAAGAGCGGAGTGGAGAGCCGCCTGCACTGGGGGAAGGGCTGCAGGCAGTAGGCAGTGTTAGAAGTGGTGGAGCTTGTTGACTTCCTCCTGGGGGCCCAGTTGACAACTGGTGAGTTCCTTGAGAATCAAGTTCAGCTTTTGCTTCTTAGCTCCTAAGAAAGTTGACTGAAAGTGAACTGAAGTCTGTTTTAGGCCGGAGACATCTTTGCTAGATCCCTGTCCTTCCCAGCTCCATTCCAGCGCCTTCCAGTAAACATCCAAGGATCTGCAGGCCGGTTTGGAGCCTCCTGCAGCAACAATGAAGGGCAGAGGCACCTGGAGCCCCTGCTGCACTGAGGGAGCCCTGTTGGGTTCTAGGAGCTGAGTCCAACAGAGAGCAGTCATGGACTCTTCTCAGCAACCCCATGATTAAGAAGAGAT